CCTCCTCCTCCTCCTCCTCCTCCTCCTCCTCCTCCTCCTCCCCTCCCCTTTCCCCATCCCCCTCTCCCTTCCCCTCTCCCCCATCGTCGCCTGGCGGCTCCGCCTGGCTGGGGCCGGGCACGAGCGCAGGCCAGGCCTTCGGGGCCAAGGCGGGCTCCGCTCGGGAGCCCAGCGGGGGTCGGCTGCCCGGCCCGCCCGCCCTGCCAGGGGGGGGGCGGTGGCCCGAGGCGTGCGCCGGTCGGCGGCGTCTTCGGGGGGCTCTCGCCGCCCAGCGGCTTCAGGCACCGTTGCCCATGCGATTGCGAGCACACGCCTGAGGGCCATGGGGTGGCCAAGCATGCTGGCTCCGCCCTGCCCCCGGCTGTTGTCTCCCTGTGCCAGGGTGGGGCTGCCTCCTGCGTCCGCCTCGGCCGCCGGGAGGTGCGGGCTCTCCCGAGGCCTCCGGGGCCGCAGACGTGGTGCTTGCGCGTTTTCGCCCCACCGACGGCGCCCTCGCCCATTTCTGAATGAGGTCTCCGTCTTGGCCTGACCTCCAGGCCCGCTGTTCGGTGTGCGTGTTCGTTAACTCCTCTTTCTCCCCTGTTCTCCTCCTCCGCCTCCTCTTAGGAGCGAGGAGCGAACAACGGGGATAGCGAGGAGCGAGCAGGGAACGACGAGCAGCGAGGGGCGAGCGAGGGGGGTTAGCGAGGAGAGGGCAGGGAGCAGCGATGGGCAAGGAGCGAGCATCGAGCAGCGGAGTGGCGGAGGAGCGGAGAGAGGACCACCCCCCAGCCGCGGCGAAGAGGAGCTGCAGGAGAGCCTGCAGAGGGAGGACGACGCGGCCGCGGCCGCTGTCGCGCAGGCCAGTCCTAGCCCCTTGCTTCTGGCCTCTCAGACCCCAAGGGGTCAGGAGAGGGAGAGGGCGAGGGCGAGGGCGATGAAGAGGAGGAGGAGGAGGAGGAGGAGGAGGAGGAGGAGGAGGAAGAGGAGAACAGGGGGGAGGAGGAGGAGGAGGAGGAGGAGGAGGAGGAGGAGGAGGAGGACGAGGAGCAGGATGAGGAGGAGGAGGAAGAAGAGGAGGAGGAGGAGGAGGAGGAGAAGGAAGAGGAGGAGGAGGAGGAGGAAGAGGACGAGGAGGAAGAGGAGGAAGAGGAGTCTGAGGACGAACACGACTAATAATAGTTTGAATATTTCTAACGACGCTATGAGCAGTCTTATCTATTAAACTAATTGTAGTATCACGATTAATATTACGAGCACGAAGATATCAACACGAACCATACGACTACGACAAACAACATCTAGCAACCGAATCACAATAACACAACGACGAAGACAACTAAGACATTTTATACTAGGAATTGTTTTTTGTTGATACTAATGTCATGATTTGTAGTGACAGTATAATGAAGTATTGTACGAAGACGCCTATGTCTGCTACTACTACTGCTGGTGCTGCTACTACTTCTACTTGTACGACTGCTACTTCTTCTTCTTCTACTACTACTACTACTACTATTACTACTCATGTTCGGACCAGTGATAACACCATTAAAACCGTTCCATTAACATGATGTATACGAGCATTGTTACGCATGTAGCATCGATACATACGATTGTAATACAAAGGGGATGCGAATAACAATAGTAAGACGAATGCGAGCACTACTAACAAGGATACGAACACTAATACGACGGTTAATAATACGAATGACACTGCGAATACAGTGATTAAGCATACTACGGCTACTACGACTACCAACAATGCGAGTATTAAGACTACCTGTGACACAAGCACTAGCATTAAGGATATGAGGAGGCGGAGGAGGAGGAGCAGTAGTAGCATGAGGACGACGTCCTTCCCGGGAGGAGGAGGAGGAAGAGGAAGAGGAGGAGTAGGAGGAGGAGGACAAGGAAGATGAGGAGGAGGAGGAGGAGATGGCGGATGCTGATGATGATGATGATGATGATGATGATGATGATGATGATGATGATGATGATGCTGATGATGATGCTGCTGATGATGATGATGATGATGATGATGATGATGATTATGATGATGATGATGATGATGATGATGATGATGATGATGATGATGATGATGATGATGATGATGATGATGATGATGATGATGATGATGATAGCCTGGGCTCCCAACCACACTCTCGACGCCTCTGGAAAAGTCTGGTGAGGAGCCCCAAGGGACCCATGAACTCTAGGGCAAGGGGCGTCTGGAGTCTTGAAATATGATCCATTAAACGTGCTCAATATCGGGGGCCCAAAGTGGCACTGATGAAGCTCCACTCCGTGATCTACGGCACGCAAGCGGATGAGATGAACCTGTGGCCGTCCCGAGTACATGCGGGGTCCTGCTTGCCCTCAGGTGAGGCGCAGTATCCGCTCGAAGAGGTGACACGGCACGAACCGCGCATGCTTCCAGACCACCACCTTGTGTCTTCCCTCCCCTCCCCTCCCCTCCCCTCCCCTCCCCTGCCCTCCCCCCACGCTGTGAACAGTGCGCAGCGCGAGACAACTCACAGCTGAGGCGCGTCGGCAAGGGGACCCGCCCTCGATGACAGAAGGAGGCCGTCATCGCGCTTCCTCGGCGGAGGGCGGGGGGGGGGGGGCCCCAGGGCCGGGGACGGGGCGTTGATGCGCCTTGAGCTCACACTGGTCTTCCTCCTTCTCCTCCTTCTCCTCCTCCTCCTCCTCCTCGTCCTCGTCCTCCTCGTCCTTGTCCTCCTCGTCCTCGTCCTCGTCCTCCTCCTCCTCCTCCTCCTCGTCCTCTGGCGCGCTGGCCCAGGGGGCGGGACAGGCGGCCGTGGAACGTCGGGAGTGCAGCCGTGGCGGGAAGCTTCCCGGAGGCCTCCAACGTCGAACCTCAGCCTCGATCCTCGAGCCTCGATGCTCAGACCTCGATCCTCGAGCCTCGAGCCTCGAACCTCGAGCCTCTAGCCTCGAACCTCGAGCATCGAATCTCGATGTTCGAGCCTCGATCCTGGAGCCTCGAGCCTCGAGCCTCGATCCTCGAGCCTCGAGCCTCGAGCCTCGAGCCTCGCAGCTCGACCGCCCTCGTGCCGCGGGGCTGCCGCGCCGCACGCTCCTCGCAGGGCGGGGCCCCGCACGAGCCCGCGCGCCGAGTGTGCCGGGGGGGCCGCACGGCCTCTGTGGAAGGCAAGGGCAGAGGCCCCTCGTCCGTGTCGGCCTCCCAGGGGCTTCTCCTCGGGGCCTCTCATCAGCATCATCATCATCATCATCATCATCATCATCATCATCATCATCATCATCATCATCATCATCATCATCATCATCATCATCATCATCATCATCATTATCATTATCATCATCATCATCATCATCATCATCATCATCATCATCATCATTCTCATTATCATCATCATCATCAGCATCATCATCATCATCATCATCATCATCATCATCATCATCATCATCATCATTGTGTCGGCCTCCCGGGGGCCTCTCCTCAGGGCCGCTCAGAAGGGGTCGGGGCAGGTGAGGCGTCCCAGAAGGCTTTGCCTTCGAGGGTAGGCGGAGCTGCCATCTCTTCCTTGGCGGAAGGCGGCGGCAGGACGGCGGAGGGGCGGCGGAAGGAAAGCGAGGCCGCGTCCGCCAGCGGAAGCTGGTGGAAGCTGGCGGAAGGCTGGCGGAAGGCTGGCGGAAGGCGGCAAAAGTAAAAAGTTGCCCTCCACGAGATGGCAACATTTTTGGGAACAGGGTTTCCGGAATCCGCCAGATGGCGTCAGAGGATCGCGCCGCATCGCCGATGCATCGGCGATGCGGCTGGATGTGGAGCCCGTGTTTCTCCACGCCGATGGCGCCGATGCGTCGTCGGTGCATCGGCGAGGCGGAGGCTGGTCGTCAGCGTCGGCCTCGCGGGTGCCCCTCTCGAGCTCCAGAGCCGCCAGGAAGCGAGCCTTCCGATCGAACGACGGTCGAGCTTCGAGGCTCGAGGCTCGAGGCTCGAGGCTCGAGGCTCGAGGCTCGAGGATCGGGGCCGGGGCACGAGGTTGGAGGCCTCCCGGAGGCTCCTCGTCGGCCTCGCGGGGCCTTCTCTTTGGCTCCAGGGCCGCCAGGTCACGAGCCTGCACGAGGACAGGGGGCCACACGCGAACCCTACCCCTACCCCCCACGATTTCTGAGGGGGAGGGTGGGGTTCACTTCGTCTGGGAGCTCCCGAGCGAAGTGAATCCCACCCACCCTCTCAGAAATCGTGGGGGGCAGGGGTAGGGTTCGCACGTGGCCCCCCAGAGAAGCTGGGCCCCAGGGTGCGCCTCTGCACGCTGCGCCTGGCGCAAGGCAGTCAGGCACACTCTGGTTGCGACGTGGGCTCTGTGCTTCGTTGGAAGCGTGCCGTTCGACCTGTGGGTCGAGAGCTCCTGGTCGAGGATCGAGGTTCTCGGACATTTCTCACCGACGTGTGATCGTTTTCTTGTTCCTTGTTTTGCCGATCGGCGCGGGCCCTCGCCCCCCCCCCGCTGGAGTAGATCTTGGCTGCTTTTGGCGCCTGTTCCGAGCAGGTGGAGGCTCCCCCATAGGACGCACTGTTGCAAACAATCGCATTAAGCAAAGGTCTGGAGCCAGACCCCTCCCCCTCTCCTCCCCCCCCTTCCGCCCAATGTCGGAACGCCGAATCGGAAAACGTTCCCTTTGTCGCTGGCGCTCCAGAGGCTGGAAGGCCTCCGAGGACCACTGGCGACCCTCAGAGACCCGCGCGGCTTCTGATATGCTTCTTCGTCTCCTCCTGTTCCTCCCCGCCCTGCTACATGGAAGCTGCAGTATGTGACTTGGGCCGGCCCTTCCACTCTTTCCAGCCCTGGCCAGTTTCCCCTCAGCTTTTCCAGCCCTGGCGACCTTATCCCGACGGTTTCGGGCTCGTTTCAGCCCCTGCTAGTTTTTCTAGGCCTGGCCACCTCGACTTTCATGGGAATTCCAACTTCGTTTTTTCCAGCTTCCCTGTGCTGATCCTGCTGCTGCCGCAGCTGCTGCTGCCTCTCCTCTGGAGCCGTTTTGGCTTGGTCTTATGGCCCGAATGTGTTTTCCAGCGGGCCCTGCGTGATGGCTCCGATTCTTCTGTCGGAAGCGGCCAACATGGACAGCAGGGACATCAAACAAGAATTCGGTCTGCCAGGGGGTGCCCCACGGAAGTCTCTTATCCCCCGATGGCACCAGGGAGCCACAGAAGCTTTGGGGCACTCAGGGCCCTCAAAGATCGACGCAGAGAGTGCCCCACGATTTCTTAGTGCGGTTGTTTTCTGATAACATGTGCCTGCTGAAGTCTCTTAACCGTTCAAGAGGATAAACTACCACCGCGCGCAAGCAGCAGTTTTCCGCCTTCGGGGGGCAGAGGACTTCAGATGCAGTCCGGTGATGACGCTCCAGTCCTTACAGACGATATCATTGATCGCATCGCCCGGCTAACGGGATGGCGTGGCTGGCTGATCAGCTGGAGCAAGGTCGCGTCACGCTATAGGCCTCTTGATTGGCTTCGAGCCGCTGGATCCGAGCTTGACGCGAAGATTGTAGTGGTTCCTGACGATGCTCCGAGGATCAATGCGGGAATCTCGGCCGCGCAATCGATCGTGGATAACACGGACGCTGCTAGCGACCTGCCCCGTGTGGTTTTTGTCCGGCCAGGCATCTACAACGAGTCGGTCCGCGTCTTTGCGGACATCGTGCTGTGTGGCCTCGGCGAGCGTGGCGATGTGACTGTCCGCTCTCAGGGCTGGGAGCCAGCTCTGGTACTTGGTGGATTCACCGTCAGGAGTAATGGAAACATGGCCGCAGCCTCTGCCGGCGCACGTGCCTCAGTCCATGGGCTCACGCTGTCGAACTCGAATCAGCTACAGTCCGTCTCGGTGTACTGCACGAGCGGGCAGCCTCGCGTCAGCCACTGCGACATCCACGGCACGGTCCGCGTGTCTGGCTCCAATGCGAAGCCCGTGATCACGCGTTGCCGTGTGATTGGCTCAAGGTCTTGTGGCATAAGAGTCTGCGATCACGCGAGCGGCAAGGTCTCCAATTGCGGCCTGATCCGAAACCGGCTCGCGGCAATCCGTGTCTCCTTCTGCGCGTCGCCGGTCTTTGAGAGCAATTGGTTCGACGGCAACGGGCAGGAAGGCGTTCTGGTAGACGACAAAGGTGGCTTTGACAGCGACGACGATATTTGTTTCGAGGAGCAGGAAGAGTTGACCATGTGAGCTCCAGAAGTTAGCCGTCTGCACGAAGGGTGTAGCCATTGCGCCGCCAATTTTCCTTTCCCCCCCAGAGGATTGATGCTGTCTGTTCGCGGCGAACAGCGACTCATATCTCTGCAGCTTCGAGGCGACTCGTGTTGAGCTCGTCATGTGGTAAACCGACTGCCTGCGTGCTTGCAAGGCTGGAGCGTGAGTGAACTCAGTCGGCTTCGTCCCGAGCCTCGCTTTCGGCGGGGAGGAGGAGGAGGAGGAGGAGGAGGAGGAGGAGGAGGAGGGAGGGAGGAGGAGGAGGAGGAGGAGGAGGAGGAGGAGGAGGAGGAGGAGGAGGAGGAGGAGGAGGAGGAGGAGGAGGAGGAGGAGTGGATCAGCTCTCCCTCTCGGGGGACGCCGGGCACCCGGGATCCTGGCCAGGCCAATCCTGGGCCCCCAGGATCGGAGCACACGCCCTCCTGGCCTGCCTGGCCAGGCACGCCGGCGCGGCGACGGGTGGAACACCAGACCCCCGACGTCGTGATTTTCTCACAGCGTCGACTCCCAGAGGTCTGGACCCCTCCCCCGGGGCCGGTTTTTCACCCCGAGTCGTTTTTTGACGGCCCCGGGGCTCCGTACGGGCCCCCGGAGGCCGAGCATGGCGACGCCTCCCGTCGTGATGTTTTCGCAGCGCGAGGGGGTCGACCCGCACCTGTCGGCTTCCAGCCTCAAGGGCAGGATCTTCAGCTTCAAGGGCAAGATATATGGGAAGTTGCCACATCGGAGCTGAGAGTCAATGTCGAACAAGACTTCTGATCGGGCCTCATTTTCTTCCGTCACTCCGGCGCCCCGGCGCCGCACCCGCAGCACCCTGGCCCTAGACGGTGCCATGGGCGGGCGTGCTCGTGCTCGTGTTGGTGCTCGAGGGGGTCTGGGGTGAGAGGCTCGGGTGAGGAGGAGGAGGAGGAGGAGGAGGAGGAGGAGGAGGAGGAGGAGGACCAGAGTGAGCCCAGGATGCATTAAGGATGCTGCATTACATCCTCTCGTCCCAAGTCCCCTCCTCACAGGAGCCCATCGGCCGCCCTCTGACTGCATGCAGCGCCCCCCCCATGAGAGAGACGAGCTCCCCATGTGCCCGCCATGCAGTCGAGAGGCCCGTGTTGGAAGCGAATTTCCTTGCATGGTTGCAGCGAATGGAATACAGAAAGGTAGGGTTAAGTCGGGCCTGTCCCTCTACAGGGGGAATATTCAAAAGGAGTCAACAAATAGTCTTCGCACGAAATTTCAAATTTCAATTTTAAAATCAAAAAGAATTCCTCCAAAGCCCCCCTGTAGGGGGACGGACCCGACCTAAAGGTAGGATCATAAAGTTCAGCGATGTGTCCAGGGGGAGTCCATGCTGATGAAAAGGAACTGCCTTCCATCCGCGTAGTTGCTGCAAGGGTGTGCGTTCATAGATACGCTGGGCAATCTCAGGAGGGTCCAAGGCGAGAGTCCTGTTTGATGAGGGCCCGTTTTCAATCTGTCTAGTTAGTTGTTACATGCTTCCAACCTTCTGTTCCATAGTTTCAAGGGGGTTTCAGGCGGGAGCCGCATTTTGAAAACGAGCCGTCCTTTATCTTTCTAGTTGTTGCAAGCTTTGAAAACGAATGTGTGCGGCGTTCAGGCGAGAGCAATTTTTTGTTACGACCCCGCCGTTCATCCATTCAAACGTTGCACGACCATCAAGCGAACGAGTGCGGCGCTGACGCGAGAGCCTCGTTTTAAGACGACCCCGATCTACCCGTGCAACTGCAAGCTTCGCTGCGGTAAAGGGGCGTGGAGTCTTGGGCGACGCGCCCGCCCTGCCATCCGAGGAGGAAGGCGCGGTGGATCGGCGGCGAGCGAGGGGGGAAGTGAGAAGGAGAAGGCCTTCTCAGAAGGTTCGGAAGTCCCCCGGCCTTCTAAGAAGTTTGTTTAAGCCTTCCCCGAAGGCAGGCAACACTCTTCAAAAGGCGCGAGGGCTTCTGAGGAGTCCCGCCGCTTTCCGAGAAGGCCTTCTCCTTCTCATTTCCCCCCCTCGCTCGCCGCCGAGTGGAGGATGGCCACATTAAGCCCAGAGTGAACCTACGAGGCTGCAGTGCACCCTCGCGTTCCAAGCCCCCTTTTGCCCAAGTCCCCCTTTGCATCCTTTGTCGCTGCGGAAAGCGCTCCCTTGACGGGCGAGCGCTCCATGGGCTTGTCATTCAGGCGAGAGCCCCGTTTCGAACATCATCCTCCCTCCATCCTTTCAGCTGTAAATCAATAAAGGGCGTATGACTAAAAGGTCGAAGGAAGTGCCCAGCGAGAGCCCACTCTTGGAAAGGAGCCACTCTCCACCTGATCGTGGGCACTGGTTCGAACAAGGGCCGCCCTCCAACCAGGTAGCCGTTGTCCGCTGTGAGTCCAAGGTCATGAAGCTTTCGGACAGGTCGTGCGAGAGCCGAACGGAGCCGCCCTCCAGGCATTCAGTTGCTGCGAGATTTTAAGACCTGGTGCCGAAGCCAGAGGATACTGAAGCGGTGGATGCAGCAGCAGCGTGCCTCCTCCTCCTCCTCCTGCGCCTCCTCCTCTTCCTCCTCCTCCTCCTCCTCCTACTCCTCCTCCCCCCTCCTCCTCCTCCTCCTCCTCCTCCTCCTTCTCCTCCTCCTCCTACCTTGGCGCGAAGAGGCCAGCGGCGCTGCTGCCACAGGCGCCAGCGGGGCAGCCGTGGGCCCTGCGGTCGCTGTTGGCGCTGCTGCGGTCTTCACCACCGCCCCGCGCGCCGTTGCCGCCCCTCTAGCTGTCCTTGCGGGAGGATGGGGTGGGGAGGGAGGTGGTAACCCTCCGTCGCCTCCTCCTCCTCCTGCTCGGCCTCCCCCCTCCCCCTTCCTCCGCCTCCCCGCTCCCCCTCTCCCTACTCCTCCTGCTTCTCCTCCTCCTGCTCCTCCTGCTCCACCTGTCTTTCCTGCTCCTCCCGCTCTCCCCCTCCCTCTCTCCTTCGCCTCCTCCTCCTCCTCCTCCTTCTCCTCCTTGCCCCTTCGCCCTCGCCCTCCCGCTCCTCCTGCTTTTATGGGCTGATGCCAAGTGTTGCTGTCTAAATCACCGGGCAGCCGGCTTGTCCAGATGAGCCAGGTTCGGAAAGGGGAGCAGAGGAGTAGTGTTTCCGCACGTGTCTCTTCGCTCAGAGCGCGCGCCAGGGAGGAGGGATGAATAGTTGGAGGTGGAGGAGGAAGAAAAGGCTGATGAGACGGAGAGGGAAGTTCAGGAGGAGGAGGAGGAGGAATAAGAGGGCGATAAGGGCGAACAGGATGGGGGAAGTGAGAAGGGAGGATAGGGATGGGGCAACGAGGATGAAGATGGATGATGTGGTTGTTGTTGATGATGATCGTGATGTTGATGATGATGATGATTATGCTGATGATGCTGCTGATGCTGCTGCTGATGATGATGTTGATGGTGATGGTAATGATGATGGTGATGGTGATCTGATGCTGATGCTGATGATGATGACGATGATGAGGATGATGATTTTGATGCTGATGATGGAGGAGGACCTGCGTAAACCCAAGACTTACCAACGATGTTGCAATGGACCTTCCCTTCAAGTTCCCTCTTCATAGCGCCCTACAAGAATGGATGTCCAGTGCGGGGGGCGGCCCATTAACAGACAACCATTTGATAATCCTCAATCGCACCAGAACGCTGTTTCTTGGATTTTAGCGCCGCGGATCCACGTGAGCCCATATAATCCAAATTCGTGTCAGAAGCCAGCTCCGTGGATTTCACCCCCTCGAGTCAACGTCTTTTTTGCCGTTCTGACCATCATGAATCGCATGGGAACGCCATTCGTGGGACTTCACCGTGCGAGCGCTTGAAACTGTTGCACACTTTTTACACGATTGTGTGCGGCGCCTAGTCGAGGGCCGCATGTTCAAAAGGGCCCGCCCTCCATCATTGAAGCCGCTGCGAACTTTTAGGACGAATGTGCACATTTTGAAAAGGAACCGCCCTCCATCAGTGAGACTGTTGCACAACACTTTAAAGACGAACGTGCGCGGCGCTAAGTCGAAGGCCACATCTTGAAAATGATCCGTCTCTCATCCGTGTAACGGTTGCAAGGAACTCTTAAGCCCCATGTTCGCGGTGCTAAGGCGAGGGCCACATTTTGAAAAGGACCCGCTGCCAACCAGTAACACTGTCGCAGCAACTTTTAAGGCGAATATGCGCGGCGCTTGTGCGAGAGAGACATTTTGAAAATGACTCGCCCTCCACCTGTGAAGCTGCTGTAAATTTCGAGCTTCAAGACGGTAGAGGGAAACAATTACTGGACACTCCCCCTCCCTCCCAAACTCAACGTTGGCACGCGCGGGGGAGACTGCGGTCGAAGTGCATCTCATCAGACCCACCGCCAACTTTGAACATTGGGGGGAGGGGGAGGCGTTGACGGATGAATGTAGCATGAGTGTTCGCTAATTTGTTCCGAAGCCTGGATCATACATGGCGAGGAAGTCTCAGGCGAGACGCCAGGCCCGCCTCACCAATACTTCTGGGGGTGCGGCAGGGAGGAGTTTTTTCCCCAATCAGAGCTTGTCTCTGTAGGGGTCCTAGCGGATTTAAGGGTAGGTGAGGTGTGCCGCCGATTCGGTGGCCGGGCCCGGGTGCCCAGGTGCCCGGGTGCCCGGGTGCCCGGGTTCGCCGCCGATTCGGTGGCCGGGCCCGGGTGCCCGGATGCCCGGGTGCCCGGGGTGACGGGTGCCCGGTGCCCGGGTGGGTGCCCGGGTGCCAGGTGCCGGGTGCCCGGGTGCCCAGTGCCCTGTAGCCCTATAGCCTTATAGCCCTATATCCCTATCGCCCTATAGCCCTATAGCCCTATAACCCATATAGCCATATAGCCATATAGCCCATATAGCGCCCAGGAGCCCATATAGCCCTGTAGCCCTATAGCCCTACAGCCCTAAGAAGATTATGATTGGGTTTTTCTCTGGTATCATTATAAGGATGCCCGATGGAGGAGGATAACGAGGAGGGAGGAAGACGCATTGGAGAGTAGGGAGCAGGAGGATGAAGGACCGATAAGGTTGGGCCCTCGAACACATTGTCCCTATCATATGCTTTGTGTTGTGCCGGAAGATAGAGGTATGTATGTATGTATGTATGTATGTATGTATGTATGCATGCATGCATGCATGCATGCATGCATGTATGTATGTATGTATGTATGTATGTGTGTATGTATCTATGTGTGTGTATGCATGTATGCATGCATGTATGTATGTATGTATGCATGCATGTATGTATGTCTGTATGTATGTATGTACGTATGTATGTGTGTATGTATGTATGTCTGTGTGCATGTGTGTATGTATGTATGTGTGTATGTATGTATGTATGTATGTATGTATGTATGTATGTATGTATGTATGTATGTATGTATGTATATATGTATGTATGTATGTATGTATGTATGGGTGTATGTATGTGTGTATGTATGTATGTATGCATGCATGCATGCATGCATGCATGTATGTATGTATGGATGTATGTGTGTGTATGTGTGTATGTACGTGTGTGTATGTATGTATGTATGCATGTATGCATGCATGCATGCATGTATGTATGTATGTATGTATGTATGCATGCATGCATGCATGCATGTATGTATGTATGTATGTATGCATGTATGCATGCATGCATGCATGTATGTATGTGTGCATGTGTGTATGTATGTATGCATGCATGCATGTATGTATGTATGTATGTATGTATGTATGTATGTATGTATGTATGTATGTATGTATGTATATATGTGTGTATGTGTGTATGTGTGTATGTGTATATGCATGCATGCAGCATGCAATGTATGTA